TAATTATTTTTAATTTGGGCCCGTATTTGTAATTATTTTCACTTTCCGGGCCCTTATTTGTAAATTCCCCTTAAAATTTCCCTCTATTATTAACGTTAACGTCGATATCGTTCTATCACTATTGCACCATAATAATTTAGATTTTTTTTTCAAATTTTCTATTAACATATCGAAAAACTCCTTCGCTAACTTATCAAGATTAAAAATTTTTTTTTTTAAAAAAAAATTTAATGAACTTATTCAATAAACTTTTTTGTATATTATTGACTCTGCATAACGAACCTCTATAACTAGCTCAAAATTTTCAAATTTTATTATAGCTAGTATAAAAGTATTATGAGCTCTTATTAAAGCATAGTAATTTTCTAAGGCGAAATTTTTTGTCAGAATCGACAGTTTTATCTTTTTACAAAAATAAAAATAAGTAATGGAAGAGTTATTTAAACAATACAGATAAAGAATTTTTAACAGATAAATTACTGTTTTTTTTTTTTTGCGAACTTAAAGATGATATAAAGATATTATTAAAGCAATTTTAATGAGTTTAAAGTTTATTATTTATTTTTATACACGTAAAGTATAAATATTATACTCAGGCTCTTTTAGCGAATTGAATTATAATAAATTTGTCAATTAAATGAAAATATTGGTCTAAGTTACATCTGTGAAAATTCTGTATGTTACTGAATAATAATCAGTATAATTCTTTTTAATTGTACTTTACAATAATCGAAAGCCACATCGATAGTAATTATGGTCATCTTCATACTTATAAGTTTGATGAGTCTGATAAATAAATATACGTATAAAAATATAAAATTATCGTTATACTATGCTACTATTTAAAAAGGTTATATCGATATTGATATCGTTTTTCTGGGTTAAATTACACGTTTCACAACATTTTACATTGTTATACCGGAGGCAAATCCGTTTCTTACCGTTATACTAAATCCATAGTCTTTCCAAATGATAATGTTACCGAACGAATGTTTTTTTGAAATATTTAATAATTTTCGAACTGATCATAAAAGCCTATTTTCATGTCTTCTAGTAAACCGTCAATGGTGTAGACTTATTATACCAATATTATGGAGTGAACCTACAAATTATTTTAGTGATAAAAGACTTATAAGAATATATCTCTCTGCATTAAATACTGAAGAGCGAGCTTCATTGATTCCTTTTGAAATTATTCTTCCGGATTATCCAAGGCCATTATTTGAGTACGAAAGTTATATGTTGGTTCTTATTTGGACAATGGTGTCAAAGATTGGCTTAGAAATGAAGGTTATAAATTAAGTTATTTCAAAGGAGATAAACTTGCAAATGCTATCAAATGCCCTTTAGTTGTAATGTTTCTGCGAGCAAGTAAAAATCTTAAATCTTTAACACTTAACAATATTAGTATTAAAATAACATTAGTAAATGCACTTTGCAAGAATACCACGCTGATTTCTTTGAATCTCCAATATAATAATCTTGGATTAGAAGAAGAAAAAGCATTAGCCGATATACTTTGCAAGAACACCACACTAACTTCTTTGGATCTTAGTAATAATAATCTTGGATCAAAAGGAGGAAAAGTATTAGCTGATGCACTTTGTAAGAACACTACGCTGACTTCTTTGAATCTTCAAAATAATAATCTTGGGTTCGAAGGAGGAAAAGCATTAGCTGATGCACTTTGCAAGAATTCTACGTTGAAATATTTGAATCTTGGAGGATATTACCCGAATTCTAATAATCTCGGACCGGAAGGAGGAAAAGCATTAGCAGATGCACTTTGCAAAAACAATACACTAAAAGAATTATCTCTTAATGGGAATAATCTCGAATCAAAAGGAGGAAAAACATTAGCAGATGCACTTTGCAAGAATACCACGCTGAAATATATGAGTCTTAAGAATAATAATCTTGGATCAGAAGGAGGAAAAGCATTAGCTTATGTACTTTGTAAGAACACCACGTTGACTTCTTTGAATCTTGAAGGGAACAATCTTAGATCAGGAGGAAAATCATTAGCAGATGCACTTTGCAAAAACAATATGTTGAAAAAATTGAATCTTTGGAATAATAAACTCGAATCAGACGTCGGAAAAGCATTGGCAGATGCACTTTGTAAGAATGCTACGCTGACTCTTTTGCATCTTAGTTCGAATAATCTTGGTTCAGAAGGAGGAAAAGCATTATCAGATGCACTTTGCAAGAACACTGCGTTGACTTCTTTATACCTTGAATCGAATAATCTTGGACCAGAAGGAGGAATAGCATTAGCATATGCACTTTGTAATAACTCCACATTGACTTCTTTGTATCTTTATAATAATAATTTTGGATCAGAAGTAGGAAAAGCATTAGCAGATGCACTTTGCAAGAATACCACTCTTACTTCTTTGAATCTCAACAAGAATAACCTTAGGTCAGAAGGTGGGATAGCATTTGCAGATGCACTTTGCAAAAACAATACGCTGACCACTTTGAGTCTTGGTTATAATGAGCTTGAATTCGAAGGAGGAAAAGCATTAGCATATACACTTTGCAAGAACACTACGCTAACTTCTTTAAAGCTTAATTCAAATAATTTCTGTTCAGAAGGAGGAATAGCATTAGAAGATGCACTTCACAAGAACAATACTCTTAAAAAATTGGCTATTTGGGGAAATAATTTTACTATAAAGTCCTATAATTCAGGCGTCAAAATTGATCCATGGTTTTACTAAATTCGCACTTACCGTTTAGATTAGCTAATACTATTAAACTATTTATAACGAAAAATCTCTAAAAGTGAATTTTTTGTATCACAAACTTGAAAGCGTTTTATTGGCTATTTTCTTGCTGTGCAAATATTCAAATTTCTTCATTTTTGTGTAAAAATTGAGTAGTTTGTCATAAATATACTGTATTAAATTTATGAATCCATTTACTATTAAAATCGCTAAAATTTTTATACTCTGTTAAAATCGCAACCCACCCACCGTTGAAATCACTACCACCCACTATTAAATCCACGCGATATTGAAATTACTATTTATCTAAAGCCAAAATAATGCCTAATCACTAATGAAATCGCAAACCTATTTACTGCCGAAATCACGAACTCACCCGCTGTGGGAATAACAGACCAACTCATTCATTACTAATAGTGAAGCCACTACTGTTGAAACCATGAATCTCTGCTAAATTGTGAACCTATCCACACTAATTGTGAACCTATCCACACTAAACTCACACTACAAATTATGAACCCACCTCCACTGAAATCGCTGATTCACCTACTCTTGAATTTACAAACTTACCTGTTGTTAAATTATGAACTACCTACTGGTGAAATTATGAACTCATCTATTGTTAAGATCATGAACAACCTACTGTTGAAATCACCAATCCATCCGCTACTAAAATTGTAAACTCGCATATGGAATTACCATGAATATTGCAAAGGACAATAAGTAAGTAAGGAGAATAATAATATGGTTCTACATTTAAGAATAATAACGCAAAGAGGGGGTCAGTTCAGGATTTTTGTTCACGTAAAGGGCAGTTACCTTTCTTTCCGTTATCACTCATCTTATAGTGAAGGCTGAGTCTTTCGTTAAATGGCAAAGCAGCATCAATTACAATAAACACTTCGATAATAGATTAAGAGTGTTTAATAGTCAGTGATAGGCTTTGCTGCTGCAGTTGTGTGCAAAAGTTTTTGGGTTTTGACTCTGCAATTGTAATAGCACTGCAAGGGCTTTATTTTTGGTTCTTGGCACCGCGCTGTGGCGGTGCAAGAACTGTTATATAATTATAGTATTTAGCACCTTATAATAACCATATTACCGATTTTCTTTGTAGCTACCTGATAATCTTCATGTTTTTGTATGAGACATTTCTTGTCTGAATTCCCAGAAGAATTGTTTGAAATGACTAAGGAGGTTCAAATTGTTCTCTTAGCTGTATGATATTGTAAATCAATTGTGATAGATATTATTTTATCATATTGTCTTCCTTGAGCTTGTAAATATTTGTGTGCATTATTAGTGTTTGCGAACAGAATTCCCATATCATTTTATAATAAAGTCATCTGTTTATGCAGATCCAGATGCCCATTTTTATTGTTACGTACTTTGATATATCGAAATAAAATGATGATGACGGAATATGTAGCTGAGTCAACGTGAAAAATTACCTGTTGATGAACAATTAAAACATGATGAATTGATGGGTCAAGTAAGTGCTCCTCTGAAAAATTTTAAATTTATACAAAATTTATAATTTTTTTAAACTAATATGAAATTTATTAAATTTAGGTTATGACATTCCTAATAGGTGGACATGAAACCACTAGTTTAGCGCTATCTTTTACATTATATTTCCTTGCAAAATATCCTGATGTACAAGATCGTCTTCGTAAAGAATTGTTTGATGCATTTACTGATCGTAATTATCAACCAACTCTTGATGAAATTGAACAGTTGAAATATTTAGAATGTGTTTTAAAGGAAATTTTAAGGATCCAACCACCTGGTATAGTTCGAATATCACTTTTTTTCAATGATTCAAAATATTCTATCTAATTCTAATTTTATATATTTATGGATTAAAGTACCATTAATCCGTCGTTGTGGAATAAAAGATGAAATAATGAATGGATACGTTATTCCAAAGGTATTTTTCTTAATTAGTAACTTATTATTTAAATTATTTAGTAATAAAATTGTGCATAACTTTAAAATAATCTTTTAGGGAATTCCATTAGTGATTCCTATCTACGCGATCCATCATGATCCCTTAATTTGGGGTGAAGATGCTGAAAATTTTAATCCATCTCGGTGGCTTGATCCGGAAATTAAAGCAAAAATATCAACCAGCACATATTTACCTTTTAGTCATGGTCCGAAAAATTGTATAGGAATGAAAATTGCTCAATTTGAATTTAAGTCTATTTTATCTATACTTATTAGAAATTTTAAGTTTAAAATAGTTGAAGGATTCACCTTTAAAGTGAAATCTGTAGGTTTCCCTAATCCTATTCCTGGAATTGATTTATGGGTTTCAAAAATTGAAGATTAAATCTTTCTTTTAAGACAAAATCATTCTCATAAGGTTTTGATAGGATTTGCAAACAATCCACATTTAGCAAAAACTAACTATAAAACATGCTAATCCGATCCATTTTGTCGGCAAAGCTAGCCAATAAATTAGTAACGTTACGTTATTATTACACTGCTTGCTATTCCTAATTACTAGTTAAACTGGGCCCGCATATGCAATTTCTAGCTATTATAAATACGAAGCATAGGAATGAGAATCATTAGTTCCCGTGATGTAAAATCCAGAGGCAC